TGAGTCCCAGATTCAGGGGCTTGAAAAAAAAAAATCACACCAGTCATGCGTGCCCAAAGAGCCGAGAAAAGAATAGAGGTGAAGGGATTATGGCATGGCCACTCCCCTGGTGGGTGATTTTTCACTCTATCTCTCTGTCTTCCTGCAGTGAGTACAGACTCCCTATAGCTAACTTAAAAAATAAATAAATAAATAAAAATAAAATAAAATAAATTTAAGGGGCAGACAGTTTGTTCAGCAGTGAAATGATGCAGCATTGTGTGAGGCAGACCCACATGGGAAGTTTGCTGGCTTTCATCCGGGGACCTCCGAGAGTATGTCAGCGATGAATGCACAGTGGATCTGGGCTAGCTGAGGCTGGAGATGATCATGGCATTGGGACTCTATTTGAGGTAATGTATTTCTCTCTCTCTTTCTCATTTTCTGTCTCTCTCACTCATGGAATAAATTTATAAATTTAAATAAAATAAAATATTCACTGAACAGGGGCCAGCAGGTGGTGTGGTGCTGGGATGCTAGATTACAACATGGCAACTGCGGTTTGAGTTCCAGACCTGGCAGCTTGCTTTCTCATTTTCTCTTTCTGTCTCTTGTCTGGTCAAATCAAAAAAAAAAAAAAAATTAAAATAATAATAATAGCAAATAAAATTAAAGAAATAATTCTGTAAAAAATAATTCACTGAACAGATTCAATAGGTATAGCTATAAAAACTGCCTAGATCAATAAAAGAATTAAAGATGAGTTTGAACCTCGTTACAATAGCGGCATATATTATTTTCTCTTTGATGTCTCAAATCTGTTTGCAGAACCCAAAGCCCCAAAGAATATGTAAAAAATATATATATATATATCTTTTTTTTTTACTTTAAAGCTGGTTAGAATTATTTAACAAGCATTTTCGTTTCTTACCCTGCAACTAGAGAGTTGAGGAAAGTTTTGAAGAAATCTGACTTCGGATCTGTAATGGACTGAGGGAGTTTGCTGATAAAAGGCAGAAGATAAGGATATATGACAGTAGCTAGACCCCGACCACCTTCACGAACCACAGTCGACAGCTTGGGAAACACACTTTTTTTTGCATTTACATGAAGCCAACAGTCCTAACCAAAAAAACAAAGATTATAATAATAATTAGATTTACACTTTTCCCAATTAAGAAGACATATAAGCTCTTATAAATAAAAATCAAATATGTCACCTAAAGAGTCTAAAATCTCTTACTACCATTAAAAACCAAAACTCTTTAAGTTATAAATATATTACAGAGAAAAATCATGTGTTCTACATGTTTATAGGACAATATTAATCAGAAATAACTTTTTAACTTAAAGAATCACTATAAAAATGGCCCTCTAAAACTCCAAGGTAGCCTGGAGGTTAAGGCACTGATCTCCCACATGGCTGACCAAGGTTCTGTCCCAGACCTGGCATCTTGTTTTCTCACTTTCTGTCTTTCTGTGGTGAACGCACATGCCCTATAGCAAATTAAATAATAATAATAATAATAATGATAAATAAAATTAAATAATTCTAAAGTAAAAAAAATAATTTAAAGAAGGATAAAACTACATATCATCGTAAAAATAAGATTCAAGGACAAGCCTAGTGGTTAAGGAAGCAATGTACCAAATGTACGTCTTCCGTACCTCAACAGTTGTAAGTGTATAGAGCACAGCTTCCCAGAGAGCAGGGCAAACAACAGGATCACTATCATCAATGCTAAGCAGGACTGACGGGCTCACTTTGGATGCCTCCTCTTTCATCAGTTGTGGAATGCGCTGGCACAAAGCAGAAATGAACTCAAAATAAGCTGAGCGGATCTAAAAGAAGAAATGGAAATCTGAATTAAATTAAAGCCTAGTAAAGCTTGATAAGATTTTTTTTTACTTATAATGGTAGACAGATGACTTGCACTAACTAGTCCCCTAATAAAACTAAAAGAAACAGTACTTCAAATAATCTTCTCAAGAGTATCAAATGACTATGAAAACATGAGGAATCGCCAAAGCAAAAGTAAAGGCAAAAGTAATTCAGTATTTTTCTTTCTTTGGCTGATGCAATTACATTTTAGTAGCAGAAACCTTCATTTGGGGCATCTACTATAGTCAAATAAGACACCTGAGCCATAAACAGGAGAAACAAAACATAGTACAGAGATCTGAAACTTTACTTATTTAGAGAGATTTTTGCTATAGGGCATATGTGCCCTCCAGAGAGATAGAAAGAGAAATCACTTCACAGGGGGAAGGCCATGTCGCAATCCCTTCTCCAGTCTCCTCTAGGGGTTTTTGGCATACACTCACACACGTCCAGCGTGAGTTTTAAGCTGCTGGGTCCAGGACTCGGCCTGTGGTCAACTACATGGGAGTCCAGTGACATAACCATTATGCCATCTGCTGGTCTGAGATCTAAGACTTTAAATCTTAGTATTATTTTTCACAAACTTCATAACAACAATGCTTATTATATTTAAAGAAACAATGTGCAGAAAAATACATTTTTAGGAAACACAGCAGATGGGGAAAGCATAATTTATTAATTAAAAATTAGTGAAAATTAAAGCTTTAATTTATAATCTAAAAGTATGCTGGTCTGAATGTGTCCCCAGCCCCCAAATTTACATGTTCTAACTTAATCACCAGTGAGATAGTTTTAAAAGGTATTTTTGCTATAGGGTGCTTGTGCTCTCTGGAGAGACAGAGAGACAGAAAGTGAGAAATCATCCCCCAGGGGAGATAGCCATGCCACAATTCCTTCTCTTCCATTCTCCTTTCAGGATCTTGGGCACACACACATGCACATGCCCGGTGTGAGTTTTAAGCCACCAGGTCCAGGACTTTAACCATGGTCATCTACATGGAAGTCCGTGTAATCATTATGCCATGCCATCCGCTGGTCCTAGGGATAGACATATTTTTAAAATGTAATGGCGCAACAAAAAAAAAAAAAAAAAATAAAAAAAAAAAAGGTAGAGATTTTGAGAAGTGAGCAGCTCCTGAGGATTCCACTCTCATGAACGAGGTTAGTGCCCTTATAGAGACCTCGAGGAGACAACCCTATAGCAATGAGGAAAGCACTGTGCAAAGGAGCTGAATTTCATGTTGTCAACTGAAGTTCAAACCCTAGTGCTGGAAGCTTAAGAAATATCTGTGGCAGACCAGTAGTTAGCATAATGGCAGACCAGTAGTCGCTGGACTCCCATGTAGCTGACCACAGTTTGAGTCCGGGACCCAGTGGCTTAAACTCATGCCAGGAACCTGTGCGTGTGTACCCAAGATCCTGAGAGGAGAATGGAGGAGAAGGGATTGCGGTGTGGCCATCCCCCCTGGGGGGTGATTTCTCACTTTCTGTCTCTCTATCTCTCTTTCTGGAGAACACATGCGCCCTATACCAAAAACCTCTCAAAATATATATATATATATATATATATATATACACACACAAGTTATAGAAATGGGTGAGAAAAGGATTACAGTGTGACCAGGACCCATTGCAGAGGTACTTTCTCTCCTCTCCCCCTCTCATGTGTGCATGCATCCTCTGGTATTGAAGAAAAAAAAAAGCCTAAGGGAACAAGTTTGCCCCTTCTACCATTTGAGAACACTGTAAGTAGGCTCTAAGCAGAGAAAGCAAGCCTTTGCCAGACACTGAATCCGCTAGCACCATGCGTTTGGACTTCCCAGCCTCTAGGACTGTAAGAATAAATGCCTATTATTTGTAAATTACCTAATCTAAGGTATTTAGTTATAGCAACCAGAGTGGATTAAGCCAAGAAAATTAAATACAAATAAATAATTAGTGAACTAGAAGAATAAAAGAAATTTGAGTCAGCTAGGTGACACAGTGGTTTAGGCAGCTGGATTCCACATTGCCAACTTCATGGTTCAAGTCCTAGATATGGCCGCATGGAAAACACTCCAGGTATGGGGCTAGCAGATCGTCTGATGGTTAAGGATGCTGGACTCACACATGGTCGGCCATGGTTCGAGTCTCTGGTCAAATTAAAATAAATAAACAAACAAATAGTTAAATAAAATAATTTTGAAAAAAAAGAAAGAAAAGAAAGAAAGAAAAACACTCCAGGTATGCGTGCATGTGTGCACAAAATCCTGAGAGAATAGAGGAGAAGGGACTGCGACATGGTCATCCCCTTTCAGGGTGTTTTCTCTCTCTCTTCTCCCACCCCGATAAGCACATACACCCTGTAGTAAATTTTAAAAATTGGTAAAGAATAAAAGAAATTAAAAGATGAAAAGCATCAAAGACAGTATAAGAGACACAGAGGATAGTGAAGATGTTTTTCAATACCTAAAAAACCATGGAAGAATTAATATTTATAATACATTGAACATAATATTATAAATAATAAATATTATATATAATAAACATAATAAAATAAATATTATAATATTTATAATACAAGGAACTCTTGCTAAATATGAAAAAGAAGTTTACAAAACATCAATAGTTACAGAAAAAAAAAAAAAAGCGAGTGGGACATGGTACAGTGGTACAGTGTTAAAGGGAGCCAGATCCCACATGACAGAGTACAGTTTGAGTCCAGAATCTGGAGTCTTGAAAAGCACATTAGATTCCTGTGTGTATAGGCTAAAATCCTTACAGGAAAGAAAAATGGAGAAAAAAAGGACTGAATGCAGCATGATCATACCCCACTGGGGGTCTCTCTCTCGTTTTCTCTCTCTTAGAGTACACATGACCCTGAGCAATAAAAATACAAAACCAATTTTAGAAGCTTATGAAGTGATGCTAAAATTACTACTAAGAAGAGTAACTCAAAGTAAAAGCTATGTTATTTGAACTATTAGATTGCCTTTATTTATTTATTTTTTTTTTGAGAGATTTTTGCTATAGGGTGCATGCACTCACCAGACAGACAGAGAGAGACAGACAGAAAATGAGAACTCACCACCCAAGGGAGATGGCAACACCACAATCCCTTCTCCTCCATTGTCTTCTCGGGATCTTGGGCACACACGCGCACGTCCCCAGCGTGAGTTTAAGCCACCGGGTCTGGGACTCGAACCACAGTCTACTACATGAGAGTCCAGCGACATAGCCATTACACCAACTGCTGGTCCCTAATCAACAATAAATCTTAGTAGGGCATCTTTCCATAAATATTGGGTCGTTGGAAAAGACATGATGCATTTTTGCATAGATAAACATAGAAAAATACATCATGACTTTCTAGACAACCTCATAAAAAAAAAACACACACACACACAAAAACCGGGTTACGTGTTGATCAACAAAAAAGTTGTAACCATCAGCCAGCCGGTGTGTGTTTATTCAGGCACCTGGATCCCACACAGCTGACTTAACAGTTTAAGTCCCAGACTCAGGGGCTTGAAAAACATGCCAGGCATGTGTGCGTATATGCCCAAGGTCTGAAGAGAAGGAACTGTGGCATGTCCAGCCCTCCTGGGGGATGATTTCCCTCTCTCTCTCTCTGAGAGGGCACATGCTCTGTAGCAAAAAATAAAATAAACAAACAAAAGTGACCAGAGGCTCACGAGAACCTAACCCTGTAGCCATGCCCAAATATTCACTTATTCAGTGTTCATGGTGACATTACAGGACATTAAATATGATGAATAACAAAATGTGAATGCACATGTATGAACAAAAGGATATACATTAAACACATGAAAATAGCCAATGGAACCAGAGAACAAAGAAGGACATTGGAACAAAGGGAAAAAATAAATACATTAAATGAGAAAAGCCTTGAGTCAGATCATATAGCCTAGTCCTTAAGGGAGTCAGATCCCACTTGCCAAACATAGTTTAAATTTTAGAACCTGTGGCATGAAAAATGCACCAAGTGTGTGTGTGTGTGTGTGTGTGTGAGTGTGAGTTCTCCAAAGTGGGCATGTGCCTTATGGCAACAGAAAGAAAAGAAACAGAACAAAGAGACAAACGAAAGGAAGGAAGGAAGAAAAGAAAAGAGGAGGGAAAAAAAGGAATATATGAGGTGAGGCCAACACTAGATAAAAAGCTGAAAACAGAACAATTAAGTTACTAGAAAGGTAACTTATGATCCACCCTAACTATATACTTGAGTATTAAATATAAAATTATATATAAACAAAAACTTGAAAGATTGGGGGGAATCAGAAAAATCTCTCAGAAAAGATGAAAATACCTGAGGTACACTGTGTTTTCCATACTTCCAAAACTTATTATGTGATAGAAGAGACTTAAACTTCTCCTCCAAAGAATCAAGCTCATTTTCAGGTAAGAGGCAAAGCAATTTCTTCAATGCCAATAAGGAACAAGTTACAACCCGATAGAATTTAGCTTCTCTTTCTTCTCCTGGAACAGTTCTTGATAAGAGAAGAAAATAAACATACATAAGGATTGAGAACAAGCCAAACTACACAGTTCGCACTTCAACTTTAAACATTTTATCTACTTTAAACGTTTTAAATATCTACATAAAAGTTGCTTTATTTCTATTTTCTACTCCCCCTGTGTCCCATTCCCTTCAAAATACAAATATGTACACAATTTTAATCACATTATTTCACAAATAATACAAGGTGAAAGTATAACTATGCAAAATTTACTTCTCTGAGTAGCATGTACAAGGTTGATATTAGGGATGGTATCTAAGAATAATTTACCTTAAAGACTTTTGATTAGAACAGAAGAGCAAAAGTAAACAAAATATTTAGTATTTCTAGTTTTTCAACTATTTTCGAACCTAACTTTAAAATAGTTCCTACTATCACGGTGTAAAGGTTTATATGGAAAAAATCTTAAAACATTTCTATCGAAAAGAAGCAAGCAAATGTGTAGTTCCCAAATAATTCAAGTTAAACTGAGGCAATGTGCGAGTAAAACCACTTAATACAGCAACTGGCATTGTATTATTTTCATCACTATGCTTAAAATGCTTCTTTAAAAAAAAAAAAAGACACATTGAGGAGCCAGCAGGTGGCATGGTGGTTGAGGGTGCTAGACTCCTACATGCTGACAGTGGATTGAGTCCCAGATCTGGAGACTTGTTTTCTCATTTTCTCTTTCTCTCTCTGGCTCCCTCTCTCCCTCTCTGGTCAAGTTAAAATAAATGAATAAATAAACAAACACATAAATAAATAAATAAATTTAAATAAAAATAATTATTTTTAACAAAAAGACACATTGAAATTACCATTTGATCATATAAGGGTAAAATTAATCCTTAACATGAGTTATACAGAAAAAAGTCCAACTTACTGTGGGTCACTGAGTGTATCAGGTGTTTCTTTTATAAGATGATCTTGTAGCACCTGTGGGGGGGGGGGATCAAAATAACAAAGCCTTGAGATTTTACTGTCCAATGGGGAATAGATAATAAGGAATCTTCAAAATGTTTATTAAAAATGCACATTATTAAAAAATTATGGTGCTAATCAGATGGCGTGGTGGGTAAGGTAGCTAGATTGCACATGACTGATAATATGGTTTGAGTCCCAGCCTGTCAGCTTGAAAAACATGCTGGGTGCACATCCATGAGTGCCCAAAAGCACAAGAGGAGAACAGAAGGGACTGGAGCATGCTTCTCCCCTTAACCCCAAAGAAGGTGATTTCTCATTTTCCCTCTTTCTCTCTCTCTGTCTCTGTCTCTCTCGGGCAAGTGCATATGCCTCATAGGAAAGTCTAAAAAGTAAACCTATGCACAAATTTCAAATTTTTTATATCAAAATAAACTCATACTTTAATTTTCTCTTTAACCTGTTTCTGTTTTGTTCTGTTTTTAACTACCAGAGAGCCAGTGAGCTTGCTAGAGAACGAAAAGCTCTACCAAGAGGGACATAGTCATGCCACAATTTTTCCCTCCACTTTGCCATCTTATCAAGGTTTGGGGTGCATTCACATGTGCACACCTGCGCTTTTCAAAGCAATAGGTGTGGGATTTGAGTTGCAGTTGGCCCTATGGGATTCAGTTCCCTGGGCAGAATGCTTAACCTCTGCACTATAGGAACTCCATGAATTTTTGAAGTCTTCTCATAGAGCACAATTAAATAAAATGTACTTTTCTATTTTCTAATTTTATTTTATATTATTTTTAAATTTTTCCTATAGGGGACAGTCACTTGCCAGAAAGAGACAGACAGAGGA